TTGTGCTTATACAACAGGCACTTTCACCCACTGAGCCATCACCCCAGCCCCTCTTAGGCTGTTCTCCTGATGAAATATGTCTGAATCCGGCAGAGCACAAGTATTTATGGAGCACTTACTATGTGCAAGGTACTGGACTCTACACTAAGCGTATGGATCTGAACAAACTAGACATGTACCTTTCTTCACAGAGAGTATGGTCTGGATAGGAGGCAGACATTAAACAACAGTTTAGTAAGTGCATGACACACACGAATGTTTCAAGTAAAGAGAGACACCAGACACAGTGACATCACTGAACTGGAGGCTCTAACCCAGTTTAAGGACCCAGGAACACAAACACTGATGTCTGACTGATGTCTGACAAACTGTGTGAACTGACTGAGTTATGGTGCTTGCACACCGCGTGGCTGGGCAGGTTCTAGAAGCAGACTGCCTGTGTACAAAGCCCTTGTTAGCTGGATGGTCATTGGGTGTTAATCTCTGCATGTTTCAATAAAATAAGAGAGAACCCAGCCCAGATCATATCATTAAGAATTAATAGTTAAACTGTTCAAAGTGCTTGGGGTCATACAAAATCAACAGTCAATAAATGTTGACTGTCATTATAAAGCAGATTTGTCCCTCCATGACATATTATCCTCAGCTCTGTTTACTTATTATTTTGAAAGAAAGTCTCACTAAGTTATCCTGGCTGCCCTCAAACCCAAGATCCCACTGCCTCAGCCTCCCAAGTAGCTTGCAGTCCTATACCAGCAAGCCTGGCTTATATTATTACTTCTATTGTATTGACTGCCTTTGGACCCCTGACATGTACTTTTATTTCTTCTTCCCACCACCTTTCATGTTTATTTATTGTTAGAGTTTCTGTATGTGACTTAAAAACTCAACACATTCTGTAACTTACAAACTATCAAGTCTTCTGCTCTATCTCTTTGTTCCAAATGTGTGCTTTTGCTTATTTATTTTATATAGACAGAGTCTCCTTCTGTAGTTCAGACTGGTCTGGAACTCCCTCAGCCTCCTGAGGCTGACTACAGGTGTAAGCCACCATAGGAAGCTCATCCTTAAGTGTTGTCCCATTTCTCTGTGAGTCTCAGGCGTATACAGAGCATGGACAGTGCTTTATCCATGGAGTCTTCTCCCTAGCCCCACATGGTTTCTTAGCTTGGTCTACCCTTCTCTTCTGTCTTCTTTATCTCTATTCCATCCTCAAATGTACCATGGCACCTTCTGTTCCCCTGGACTCACACTTTGTCTCTTCAACGAGTATCTGGGCATCCAAACCTGTTTCCTTGTTTCCCCCAGCTAGACTCGAGGTGGTGATTGGCTCCCATGCTTGACTTTTCTGTCTGAAGCTCTTTTCTCAGATGCTCAAATGCTCTCTTCACTGAGGTTTGCATACGTGGTACCCAGATCTCAGACTGACATGGGAAGGGATGGAAAGAAGCAGTCGGCTTACACTGGTCTCAATGGCCATTCATATCATTTTGATATTTCAGTATGTTAAATTTTTTTCAGATCTACAATACATTTTTATTTTATTTCCTCTTTTTTTTAAAAAAATTAATTCAAGTTAGGGAACAAGCTTGTTTTACATGTAAGTCCCTTCTCCCTC